AGGCCTCCCGTGGCATTTTTGTTGGACTTGTGGGGAAACGCCAGCTTTGCCAGAGCTGCTGGATGCAGGGAGATGGCACTGCAGAGACAGAAGGGGGTTCCAAATGGGTTTAATGACATCTGAGCAGAGCTCCTTCGTGCTGCTGGGTTGGGGATGTCCCTGGAGAGCACTTCAGGAGAGCTTTGCTCTCAGTGAAAGGCACCCAGCATGGAGGCCCATCTCTGGACTCCCCCACTTGCTCCCTGGATGCTGCCAGACACTCAGAGGGACCTGGATGAGGAAAACTGAACAGCCACATGAGGACGGGTCTGCCTGGGTGAGCAATGCCTGCACACAGGTGCCATTGCATTGCATGGGCCTGAGCTGGAGGCCATGTTCTCTGAAAAATGAGCATCCAGCAGCTCACAGCGTTAGGATTGCACAGCTGTGCCTTCGTGATTCCTTCCTCCTTTCTTCATCCTGCCTTCAAGGTGTGACTTCGATACATGTGACCAACTGGAAATTGCAGTCACCATTCGGAAGGGCTGGTTCCTTCTCTCAGGCACCACGTGGCCATCAGGACCACGCACCGTGTCCAGCCGTGAGCTTTGCTCCAGCAGCACGGCGCCCACGGTGATGCTGCTGTGCCCAGGACATGGCGGTTCCAAGCACCCACTGCAGCTGCCCAGATCCCCTCTGTCCCTCCTGCACCCCTCTTTGTCCCCAGCTTGGCGCCAGCTGTCAGCGCAGGCCCAGCACAGCAAAGCCTGCAGCAAACACAGCACGGGCGCTCCCCAGCACAAGCCATCGCCGGGGCGGATTTGGCACCGAGTTAAGTCATAAAGGATAAATGTGCTTTATAGCCACATTCAGGATGTAGCTCTAATGGCTAAATAAAAACATACCCGAAGCCGTGGAAGCTGTCAGCCGAGGCCCAAGGGACTCGTGCTGTTGTACAAGCAGACTGAAACTGCTGCAAATCACTGCACAGAAGAAGGGGAAAAAGCTGAACTAAAGAATTGCAGAGAGAGGGGAACAAGTGGGAGGGGGCTGCTGAGGAGCAGCAGCGTGAATTTAAAGTCAGCAGTGAGGAGCCCTTGCATAAGTGCAGTTTGCTCCACATCCCTCTTTGTCCCCAGGTGGGCAGGGCAGGGGAGGATGGTGCTGGCTGTGCCAGGGGGGGTTGGCACATCTGGAGAGCCTGGGGGGGAGCAGCCTGGGGAAGACAAGAGCTGGGCAGCGTGGGGTCCCTGTCCTGTGCTCCCCTTCTCGTCTGCACATTTCTCACTGAGGTCGATCCCTGTGTGGCCCCACAGTGCTGAGCATGTCCTGGGGGCTCAGCACCCATCCATGCTACGTGGCTGCTGCCCTTCACATGCCAGCACCCTCACCCACACCCCCAACCCCTCGTGTGCGTCATTCCCTGCCTCGCATGCCCAGGACAGAGGAAGCAAGTGAGGAGCTGCCAGCAGCCTCCATGCACCCAGAACATTTTCCTAATAACATCCAGATGGATCCACAGAAATTGTTCACATCTCAGAAAGAAAAAACATACTTCAGCTGCAAGACAAATGAGCTTCAGATGCTTTAGGCAGGGCAGCCCAGAGGAGAAGCCCACTGCTGGCACACCCGAGAGGCAGCGGGTACATCTGAAATGCAACATGGAAACATGTGTGGATGGGGCTGCACAGCCCTGAGAGTGACTGCTGCCCTGCCAGTGCTGCGTGGAGCTCCTTCCCCAGAAACAGCCCTGTGCCACTGCTCAGCTGTGGGTCCTGCAGCTCCCCATGCTGGGGAGGTCGGCTCTTACATCTGGATGCAGGTGCCCATGCTGCTTCCTAGCTCCATTTTTCCAAAGGGAGGAAATTGGGTTTGGAAAAAGGGAGAGGAGGCATTCTGCAGTGAAACTGTGGCTTTGGGGTGGTGGGGAGTGGTTTGGGCCCATCCCAAGCATTCCCACAGCTGCAGCTCATGCCCTCGGTGCAGTCAGGCTCTGAGCGGGGTTGAGGGATGCTCTGTGCTGTGGGTGATGAATGCACAGCGGCCCCACTCCGGAAACGGGGCCGGGGAGGATATGAGAGACAGAGGATTCATATCCCGGAAACTCCGTAGTGTAATGGCTCGGGAATTCAGCATGATAAATGTATTTGTCTGCGCTGGTGCAGGCAATCTGCTTAATGTGGGAAGCAGTTTCCTGCAGCACCAAGTTAGCAGAGAAGGGAAAAGCCTGAGAGCCAGGAAGGGTCGAGGAGCAGGTAACTGCATTCCGAGGGACCGCCTCCGGGGCAGCGCCGAGTTGCGCTGCAGCTGCCTGGGGGCCCGGGGAGGGGATGGGCGGTGAGCAGCGCTCCCCATAGGCAGGACCTGACCAGGGAGCGGAGGTTAGCCGTCACCCAGAGCACCGGAACAATTTGCTGTGCGTGTTACAGACAGCCCAGCCTGTGCAAACCTACAGGGAGGCCACGGCTGTGCTTTGAGATGGAGGATTTGCTGGAGCTTTCTCAAGCTCCTGTGAGTTCCTCCACTCATCCTAATGTGACATTCACTATGGAAATTGCTAAACAACGGATGGACGCAGTGTCTGATCCCTGGTCAGAGGGGCAGTGCGTTGGGGCACAATGCTGGGATGATGATGGGGACAATGCTGTGGCTCCAGCCCTCTCCCTGGCCGCCCAGTGTTGAGATGTGTGTGTCCTCCAGCAGGCTTTCCAAAATGCCAACCACAGGAAAGCTGCGGAAACCCAAGCTTTCCTTTTGCTTGGATTCCCATCAGTTCCCAGAGCTTAATAATAGATTATTTTAGGCTTCCTTGCTTCAGTTGTTTTGGCTTTTCAGGCTCAGTCTGAATGCTGTCTCATGGGTAAAGCAGCCCGCTGGGTTGAAGGAAAAGGAAGGAGAATGAGCTTTGTGGGATGAGTGTTCCGCGTGTGATCCAAGGCTCCATCCCGGCTCGCAGGAGCCCAACCCCTCTTTCCCTGCCTGCTCCCCGCGGGGATGTGGCTCCTTGACCGCGAGGGTTCCCCAGCGCATTACTCCTATTACACCGGATGGGCGCTGCTGGGAGGGGGGGCTCCCGGCACCCCGACACGAGAGATGGAAGGGAGGGGGCGATGAGGTGCCCCCAGCGCTGCGCCATGGGACCGTGCGTCCCCGACGTGCCTCCCGCTCCGTTTGGGGTCCCGGTGCGGACGCAGATATCGGCGCTTCGCATCCGCCCCGAGTTGGCGGAGCGGGACGGACCGGGCAGCCCCGCACAGCGCCTCGGCAGCGCCACCTGCTGGCAGCCGGCGGGAGGACACGGCGGGGGGAGCGCGGATGACTGCGCTGCGTTCGGGGGATGCGCTGCTCTCTTTTAAACCCGCCGGTGGAAGAGGGGCTTCCGAGGGACGGAGCCGATCCGTGCCGTCTCTCCAGCAAAAGAGACCCAGGCTCTGGCTAGGGGAGCGCGGGCAGCGCCGGACCGCAATCCGGCCCTGCAGCCCGTCCCAGCCTTTACCTTTCATGGGCATTTCCGTGTAATCCACGGTCGGCGGATGGGAGCCGTTAGACCCAGATTTACATTCCTTCCTAACAGCTGGCAGCGTGTCAGGGAGTTGTTTATTTAATGTAAAGGTTGAGATTTAAAGGGGAAAAAGAAGCTGCAGCGCTCCTCGCGCAGTGGCGGCTGCGACTTTGGACGCTCCGCCGCCCGGTGCCGCAGCGGTGCAGAGCCCTGAGCCGAGCGCGCATCCCCGCGCTGCGAGCCGCCCTTCTGCGGGCCGAGCGGTGGCACCGGCGCTGTCCCTTCACAGCCACACGCCTCCCGGGGAAGATCTTCGAGCAGTCGTCTCATTAAGTCTTCCAAGTGTTGTTTTGCCGCTCACCTCTCACCCTGAGGACAAAGCTCTCCAAGCACAGCGTGGTTTCTCCGGGTTCCGCCATCCCTGCTTGCTCATCTGTCTGAAGCCATCGCTGCGGCCTCCTCGGGGATTATTTTTCAGACAAAGTGTTGACGTTTTCCCCCAGTTGGGTGTCAAGTGTGTAGCAGAGGTGGTAATTTCTGAGTGCAGAAGTCTAATGAGAGGAATGCTCTGTGGTTAATGAGGTGTTGGGAGGCAGCACAGCTCAACCCGCAGTTACACTTTCCAACTTTCCAGTTTAATTAGAAACCCGGCTCTCCTGTGCATGCACTCGTTCCTTTCTCGCTTGAATGCATCGCCTGCAGCACTTCCCAGTTTGGCACAGAGCCATTGGGATGGGGCAGCTGGCTGCGTCCTCCTGTCCCTGCCCTCCCTCTGCCCTATTGCTGGGTTTTTGGCACACACTCAGGCCTGCCCAGTGCTGCTAAGTACCAGTTTAAATGTCAGACTTAAACTCTTACGCACTGCCTTTAAGCAGTTATAAGCTTGTAGGAACGGTGAGAGTGCAGATTGCAGGGCCCAGCCCTGCCCCACACCCTGCACAGGGCCCCATGCGCCATTCCTGCGGCATCTGAGCCCTGCCCCAGCCCCACACAGCACTGCTGCTCTCACTGAGGTGTAAAGGGCACGCAGGTAGTTGTACCTGTGCACTGCTTGTGATGGGGACACAGCTGATGGATTGTTGCTCGCTGACCTTTTGTAATCGGGCTGTGTTTGACATGGGTTGCACAGGGTGTGCTTTGATGCACAGATCAGGCAGTGCTGCAGAACGGGCGCAGGTACAGTGCAGGAGCAGCACCCAGCCTGCCTGTGATGCAGGGTGTACCCTACAGCTGTGGTTTGCTTTTGAGGGGAAGGAGGGGAAGTTGCTTTTGCTGAGTAAACTTTTGCAAGCGTTACTTTCCCCTTTCTTTTTAATTAAAAAGTTTTAATTAATGTATACAGTAAAAGCATGCCTTTTGGCTGCTGTGGGTTGCAACTGAAAGCTGGGAAGTGATGTCTGTGGTCCCTCAAGCTCTGTGTGTGCTCACAGTGAGTACAGCAGGACACACCTGATGCTGCGTCCAACCACCATGGGAAGCACTGCAGAGCGGTGCAGTGCTCCCAGCAAACGCACACTTCTGCAGTTCCCAAGGATTTATTATACAAAAATAAAGGTAAAATAAATGCAATTATTCATCTTTACTAATCAGAAGAGGAGCGCTTTTCACCACTGACCTAGAATTGTTATTTAAACAATGGAATGTTTAACACTGTTATGTTACTCTATGGACCAAACTGCCTTTTTCTCTTTGCTGTCCAATACGGGAAGCCAGGCCCAGCAGGAGGGGCTGTAGGGAAGGAAGCACTGAAAAGGGCACTCAGGAGGCGTGCAGCTCCGCCTTTGTGTCCCCAGCCCAGCTGTCATCCAGGAGGAATCTCACCGCATCCCTCAGCCACATGAACTGCAGCACTCCTGCTGCTCCTGTTCTGCTCCAGCATCTCCAGGACAGCGCCAGGGCATTTGGTGCCACGTGCACTACTTACAAAGGGATTGTGGAAGAGACAGATCTGCTTAATAAATAAACACAAATAACGTGGCAGATATCAGCATGAGGGACAGCAATATTCTAAGGAATGTTGAGATGCTGAGGATTTGGAGCTTCTGGCTGGCTTAGTATGGTGAAGTTATCTGCAAGCTTTTTGCTCAGTAACACGAACAATGGCGCAGTTTGAAGTTGCTCGAAGGCGCTGTGGCAGCGACGTACTTGGATGGACAAATGGGATCATGGGGCACTGGGGGTGCTGGGTTCCAGCAGCAGCGGGGCTGGAAGCCACACATCCACGGTGCACGGCTGTCCTCGAAGCTCCTCGTCATCACTGCGAAGGGTCGTGCAGGGCTGAGCAGCTCGGGTCTGGTTTGGTTCAAGCCTTTACCTACGGCTCGGGGCTCTAACGCTTGGCTCTTCATTGGAACGCCAGGAAGGGGCAGCAGGGGTGGGCGGCCGGCGCCGTGGCGGGGTGCCTGTGAGCTGTGGGATGGGAGTCAGTCGGCCGACACTGGCAGCGGGAGGAAGAGGATCGCCTTCTGCCCATAGTGAGTCCGCGGCCCCAGCTTGCTGTTCCCATTTTTCTTCAGCCCGACGAACCAGTTCTTGTCTGCGTGCTTCTTGGAGATGTATGTGTTGTAATGGTTCTCCTCGAGCCGCTCAAGGAACAAACACTCCTCGCCTGGTAGCTGCTGGAAAAGAGCCGCAGGGGCAGTGAGGGGGGTGCGTGGGGCAGGATGCAGCCGGGGGGCTGCTGCTCGCTCCCTGTGCCCACCACACAATGCAGCGTGGGCCTGGCTCCTGCCTCGCTCCTGACTCACTGCAGTCCCATGCCCATAGCCCAGGAGTGTGGGGAGCAAAGCAGCTCCTTAGTGAGGCTGAGAAGCCTACCAACATGGATACGGGGTGTGCGCTTTGCTATCAATGGGTCTCAAAGACCTGGATTATTTTTGGTGGCTCTCTGTCCTGCAGCTCCTGGGCACCGGATCACAGAATCACAGAACCATTAAGGCTGGAAAAAACCCTAACCCTAACCCTAACCCTAACCCTAACCCTAACCCTAACCCAACCCCAGCCCACCCCACCATGCCCACTGACCGTGTCCCCCATGCCACATCCCCATGTTCTGGAACAGCCTCAGGGATGGCGAATCCCCACTCCCCGGGCTCCTGTGTGTGTGCTGCAGCTTACCGAGCCATACAGGAGCCCATTGGTGTCCATTGCCAGGTACTGCCCTGATGCTGTGCTCTTTATATAGACCTCACCCACGTCTTCCGCACTGAGCTGGAGCTGAACTGTAAAAATAAAATGACAACAATAACGTAAAAAGGAAAATAAGGAAATGGAAAAAGGGAAAGTGGTGAGAGATAATGGCCCAGGTGTTTCTGTTCTGAGTTATAAAGAGTTGAAGAGAAACAGTACAGAGGGTGATAAATACATCTCCTTGTGCCCTCCCCTTGAGAGAAACTCCACTGCCGTGTCTGGGGAACCAAACACCAATTTTTGCCTATTTTACATCAAAGGGAGGGCAGCCTTTTGGTTAAGATGCTGGAATGGGACACAGGAAATTGGGGTTTTAATTCTGACTATAATTTGCAAATTTCCTTTGTGGTTTTGACAAGACAGTTAAGGAGTGACGTGTGAAGAAGTTTTTAGGACAGACAGACCTCAGGTACTGGTACTGCAGGGCACCGTGCCTTGCTGCCTGGCAGGGTCTGTGCCCTGGGGAGCTGGGTCATACATCCAGGTGCTGGAAGGGCAGCAGACAGAGGGGCATCCTGCAGATGCCCATGAGCCTTGTTCTGTAAGGCTCCAGCCCATGGCACAGACCGGTGCAGTGGAACAGCCCTGGGGAGGGCTCTCCAGCGCTCGGTGCCCAAGGAGCGAAGAACAAGTGGGTGCTTTAGCTCCAGCTCCTTCCTTCCTTCCTTCATTTATTTACTCCTTAGTGGGGCATGGGATATTGTTACCTCTTCCCTGTAAGGTAAGGTTGTTTTTGGAAAGGAGCATGAGCTTATTTCCTGCTCAAGGCTCTGAAATGCTCATGTAACATTTATTTTTCACTTCATGCTGAAGGCTCAGGGTGCTGAGACCTGCAGTGAAGGACCAGGAATGGAATTAGTGCTGAGTGCAGTGGCCTAGGATGAGTGACTTTTTGTTTTCCCCTTACATACCCTCCTTCATTCTGTGCCTAGCACTTGACAAGGCGATGTCAGATAAGAGTAAGGACTTCCCTGGAGCAGTGGTGCCAGTGGCAGTGCATGGGCAGGACCCCAGAGTGCAGTGCTTCCAGAGGGGCAGCTCCCACTGGCACGCTGCCCTGTGCTGCTCTGTTCACTCTGTAAATATTTGCCTGCTCAGATATCCACGTTTACAGGATTGTTTGCAGGGGGTTCCTGGCTGGCAGGACTTCCCAGCACACAGCCTGGCTGGCGGCCAGCAAGAAGCAAGAGAGTCTGGGGGGGGGGAGATGCTGGCTGCAGGGCTCGGGATGGTGGGCTTGGGAGTGGGCTGGAGAGCCTGAGGATGGGGGCTCAGGGCTGTTCCCAGTGCTGCTGGGATGCTGCAAGGAGCAGGGAATGGTGTTTGAACCCAGAACTCTGCTGCTCATTGAAGCACGAGGAAAGGGTAAGCTTGGAGAGAAAGCCACATGGGTGCTTACGGTTTAATGGGGAAAAAATAGCATTTTCCTAGAATATGTATGGCCAATTGGGCTCCTCCCAGGGCTGCTTCCTAACCAGATATGAGATCTGAATAGCTGCAGATCCCAGTTATATTCCAGTAAGCACCCAGGATATGGAATAACAGGCTGTGCTGCTGAGCACCGTGAGCAGAGCAGGGCAGAATCCAGCCCCACAGCCTTGGGCTCCCACTTCCCAAATCCTCTTGAGCACTTGGGAAGAGCTTAAAGCTCCCAAACAGGGCTGTGAACCGTGTCATCAGTGTCACACAGCTGCTTTGTGCCTCATGCAGGCGGCTGCTAAGGAGGGCTCAGCCAGGGGAGCTGCTGGGGGCAAGGTGCTGCTGAGGGCAGGCCAGGCCAGCCTTGTTCTTGCCTCTTTTGGACCTCTGCATCCTGCAGGAACTCAATTAACCACGTAGGGGAAAGGGAAGGTACTGAAGACGAGATGCTGCATGCAGAGCACACAGATACAACACATTCAGCACATCAAGCTCCAGCCCCTGATTCATGTGTGAGAAGCACAGCCGTGCTGCCCAAGAGCATCGCATGTGCAGTGCCACTGCTGCAGGGCTGCAGCTCCTCCCTGATCTTCCAGCTGCCTGCTTGCCTGCATGCTGCAATTAACCCTCAGTTACATCCCCTGCAATTAGCACCCTTTCTGGCTGCCCTTCCTGGCCGCACAGCCGCCTGCACACCCATGCCAGGTTGCTTCCTGCTGGTAAGGCTGACCAAGCAATGCAGGGCATGCAAACAAGCAGGAGAGCCAAGCAGCCCGGCCGGTCCTTACTGTGCTGGTCGCTCCGGTCCCGCGTCCCGTCCACCTTGCCGTCCGGCAGGATCCGTAGGAAGTGGCCCCCGTTGCTGCAGTACAGGAGTTTGGGCTTCTTGTAGTTGCCCAGCGGCAGGCCGAAGCGCTCGGTCAGGGCTGTGAAGGTGGTTATCTCCCCCTCGGCCATGGTTCAGGCTGCAGGAGATGGGAGACGTGAGCGGGGTGCTGAGCTGCCCGCAGTGCTGTGCTTATAGGGACAGGAGGGACGGGGCTGGGACAGGTGCTGCTCCCTGCAGTGGGAGGGCTGGGGTCGTCCCGCTGGCGGCAGGGATGCGGTCCCTCTAATTGTATCGCGGTGAATCCTGTTTTCTTTCTGCTTTCTATTGACGCACACGCTAAAATTATACGCTGGAAAACACGTTTGGAAACCACCCAACGTCTGATTGGAACCCGCAGGAGGCAGCAGCCCGGGTTAATGGCTCTCACCATTATTATACCTTCCTGATGTGGCTGTGACAAGAATTGCAACACAGGCGGCACGCTGCAGAGCCAGCACTGCTTGGTGCTGCGGTGTTCACCTGGCCCAGGCACACAGTGCTGAGGATCAGAACACAGCTTAGATATTTTGGGAGATAACTGAGGGGGCCTTGAGGGGGAGATTTACCCACATAGTGATCAACTGTGGAACTCTGAATCCATGTCATGGTTGTGCAGCCTTGCATCCCATCTGTGACAGAAAGCCAAGAGCCTGGCACAGAAACTGCACTTAAACCACCATGAAAACGCTGCCTCTCACAGGCAGTGCTCTTCAGGCTTATAGAGAAGTGGATTTATGAACAAAGATGGGGCACAGGGTAAATCTAGGAATGTCCAGAAGGTCAGAAAATGACTTAATGCTATTTATTCCCATAGCTATGCTGTGGGACTACATAGTCACTATTTATATGTATTTAAAGATTGTGAAAACATCAGTCACGCACTGAGCTGTGTTACAGCTGCATCAGGATTGAGCTAGTGCCAGGTTGGTTCTTAGGAACAATTTCTCCTCCAAAGGTCAGTCAGGGGAGACCATTCCTCCAAGTGGATCCCCAAAGCATGCCGAAGATAAAAATACATGAAAGTGCCAATTTTTGTATTAAAGTTTTGATCACTAAGGACTGAAACCATGGAAATAAGACTTCACTGCTGTTGTTGAAAACATGCCCAGCCATTTCTCTAGTCAGTTCCCAGACTTCATCCCTTTCTTTCAGATGTGCCCCTGTAAGGTCTTGTAGCAGAAATGCTCAGTCACAGCTTGAAGCAGTGATGGAGCACCTGGCGGGGAGGCAGGGCCAACCTGGAGGAGCTCAGCTGCATGCAATGCACTGAGAGATGGAAGGGCTGGAGCAGGATCCACCCCTTCCCTGCCCTCATTTAAGGGTTTGCAGTGGAAGCAAGGGGGATCTTCCTGGAGATCCCTGCATACTGAGGTCTTCCAAAGGTAAGCAGATTTTTCCTTTGTTTCTATGCACATAGCTGTTAGACTTGGAGAAATTCTTGCTGCTCTGCTGACATTGCTGCGCTTTTTGTTGTATTACAGGTCTTTATCAGAACAGCATGAGATATCCAAGGGGAGTAAAGCAAAGAAGCATTCCCTTCCCCGAGACAGAGGCAGAGCTCAGCCCCAGGAGCGGTGCTGCAGGCAGGGCTGTGAGTCCCGCAGGATCAGAGGGCAGTCCTGCCATGCGCTGCTTTAAACCTTTCCCTGCTCTGCAGAACTGTCCTCATCGTGTTTCTGACACAGTGTTGGCTGGAACAGTGCCCAGTGAGCAGCACTGCATCACAGATATGAGTTTCCCCAGCTGCTTCCTACCTGGCCCTGAGATCCAACTCCTGGCCATTCCTCCCCCACCGCCCATAGGCTTGAACCTGCTCCAGGCCTGTTTCAATCTGAAAGTATTAACCTTTCTCCAAGGGACCCGACCCAAGTTTTACAGTCACCTCCACTGGTTCATGCACTTTACTTGTGGTTCAGCTCCACACCAGCTCTGGGCTTTCCCTGGGCAGTAGCCTGCTTGTCACCCCATAAGCCAGACAGGCTGCAGTGCTTTGCTGAGCATTAATTGAGGCCGGTAGCATTGTGCAGTTTACTGGAAGTTACTTTTTCCTTCAACACTTCTCAGAGGATAAAAGGCACCCGATGTCTCCTGGTGGCTGATGGAGGGAGCAGAGGAGCCCACCCTGCAGCCATGGGCTCTGCACAGGGTCCCAGCACCACAGCTGACATGGGAGAGGTGCAGACTGTGGTGCGACCCTTCTTCACTTGCAGGTCTGCACAGCCAAGAGCATCTATGGATAGATTTAACAGAACAGCTCTGCTGGAAACATTGCCTTCACTTTCACATCTTTCCTTTAAGGGCTTTTTTTTTTTCCCTATTTTTAGGAGGCTCTCAATGCTCACCAGCTGCCTTTGACTCCACAAGAAAAGCTGAATGAATGCAATTTTCCACTCCCATTGTCTCTCCTGGCTAAATACTGCTGCTGTTCTCAGACTTTTATGACTGTGCAGCCGGTGTTCCACGCACAGCACAGCTCCTGGCCCTGCTATTATACCTTTGGCAAGAAAACATTAGGTTTTTATGGAAATAAAAAAAAAAAAAAGTGGGAGTGCAAGAGAGAACCTGAACCTAACACTAGGGGCCTTATTTTTTGGGGTAGAAGCCCAACAGAATGGCTGGGCTCCAAAACTTCTTGGCTATTGCACTGCACACGCAGTGCTTTCCTGTCCACATCTTTTGTCCTCCCTGCTCCTTTCCCTTTCGACCCTTTCTGACCTCTTGGAATGGATCTGGTCTCTGTAGGTCACTATTCTGTATTATGTTGCATGAGAGGTCCCAAGCAGCCTTGCAGTTACAACAGGTACAATATTCTAGAAGAACTTTAGCTCTGGCTTTCCTCTGTGCGTGGCCCTGTGGGTCCCTGAAGCCCTGGGGCTGATGGGTATGGCTTTAGGGAACTGCTGGGGGGATCCCAGAACTGCTGGAACCTGCATGGGGAAAACTGCTTGGATAAAATGGGGATTTTATTCATTGCAAGTATTAGAGATTGACTCTGTGGGGTGGATTTCCTCACCCCAGAGTAAGAGACAGTGATGGATGCAGGCAAGATCAGAGCTTGGCAGAGGTTTTCCTTGTGCACAGGTGTCCCTGGGGTGGTAGTTGGACTCAACGGACTTAAAGGTTTTTTCCAACTCTCATAATTCTGTAATGCTATCCCTACTTTACCTACAGAGAAGAGGAGTCCTTGGGTATTTCATGCATGTCCTGGGGACAAAGGTGTGCTCATAGCCAAGTGTTCTGCTTGAGCCACGTGAGATTTCTGTGCTTCTCCAGGCTGGGACTCAGTACAGCATCTCAGCAAAGCACTGGCATCCGTGGGGAGACAGGAAAACAAAGTGATGATCTGTTTTCTAATTGTCTGCCAGCCTCTCCAACCTCCTCGCCCACACCCTCCTGCAATCTGGTGATTAACTTAATTACAGCTGCAGCTCCTGGAGCTGGCCCAGCCTGGGAGGAGAGCAGTGCCAGGAGGGTCTCGCTTCCTGCAGCCTGCCTGGGCTCAGACCAGGAACGTGGACCTGGCTGTAGATGCAGATCCCATTGTCTCATGTGTGGGATTTAATTGTTAATCCCAATGCACGCCAGATGTGTGGGACCTGTTGTGTGGAAAGAATACTTTTGGTAGAGAAGAACAAGGGCTCAGTTTCTCCAGCAAAGGGTGAGGGGAGAGAAGTTTTGTACGCAGCATCAAAGGAGGCAAGTATAATGGATGACACCGTGCTCTACTGTGGGTACGAGCAGTGCTGAGGGATGAAAGGAATCTTCTCCTAGCAGGTCCCTGTGGCTGAGCTACAGTGCTCACTTAACACCGGTGCTCAATGTTCTAAAGCACCTTTCACCTGCAGTGGTTTTTAGGAAGCCCCTGGAGCTGACAGCTGGGCTCTGTGCCCCTCTCCCTGCCGAGGGTCTGGGTGTGCTCTGCTTCCTGCAGAAAGCAGCAGAGGAGGCCTGCAGGGCTGCTGCAGAGCAGGACGGGTGGTGCAGGAGGGAGCGCAGTTGCAGCCCTGGTTGCTGGAGGTGAGGCTGGGTGATGCTGCCCAGCTCCCAAATGTCACCGCTCCCCCTGCCGCCCACTGCCGCTGTCCCTATGAAATGTCAGACCGCAGAGCTGGGAGTGCTGAGGCTGTCTGGGCTCAGGTGTGGCTGCCCCATGGCTGCTGGCTCCGGCCCCGCACACCCACAGACAGACAGGCGGACAGACGGCGGTGCCAGCCCTGGGCAGGCTGCTCACAGCTTCCTTCTGCTGCTCTGTTTACGCCGCTTTCCTCCAGCCCTTCTGCATCTTGCTCTCACATCCCAGCTCTGCCCAGAAAAGCCATTTGCCTGCCTCCAAATGACAGATTCTTGCCCCCCAGTCTTGCGCTATGCTATGCTCTCATGCCAAGGGGTGATGTGGTTCTCCTGTTGTATCCTATGGGCCCCGCTCCCAAGCAACACCTCCCTGATTCCAGGTAAGGGCTTTGTTGGTGCTCCCTCCATCACCCTGCTGTTGGCTGCCAGCCATGCCAAGCTCTCATCACCCACACGAGTCCGGAACATTGGCGTGCTGCTGCTAATGAGGCATGCTGCTTAAGTGAGGAGTGAACAGCAGGAATTTGCCTATGTTGTCAGAAGGGATGCTTCCTTCAGCCGCCCCTGTGAAGAGCGGCCCAGCTCAACCAAGGGTTGGCTCTGGCTTCAAAATAAGGATTTGAGTTTGGGTTCAGACTTGTGCTGCGTCCTTCACCAGAGAGGCAAAGGATGCCTGAAACAGAAGGTTTCATCTCCAGGCCAAGTGAAACTCCACATCCATACCCGTGGTTAACCATCAGTAGACACATCATCACTCAGAATTCAAGCCTCAGTCTGTGCTGTTCCAAGGAAAACCACTTGGTGTCTGGGTTCACCATAAGCTCAGCAGTGATTTACTGCCATAGAAATGCAAGGGGAGTTAATTATCTTCATTTCAAGCTCATTGTATGATGGCAATATAGCTTGTCAAGTTCTGAGGAAAAACTGCCTGGAAGAATTCTGCTCCGAGTTCTGCTGCTTAACGTCTTTAAGTGTAGCATCTAGTAGCTATGGGTGCCCAAGTAAACAGCCTGGGCTGTGTTTTGCTATGAAGGCTGTTGCTCAGTAACTTAATAGTGCAACAATTGCTTGAGATAATAATTGCTATTACTGGGAAAAATCCTCCAATAAATAATAATTTTCTTATCTGCATGACTTGAGAGCTGGAGAAATGCCGTACTGTTTGAAACCACAGTGCATGAGAACATGCAAGGAGTGTTCCAAGGGAAAGAGCCTTCTGCTCTGTTGGAGCAAGGCAAGATCAGAGCTGAAGCTTTATAAAAGGTGGTTGAAAAGATCTACAGAAAAACCCAAACAGATTAATTAATGGGGGATAATGAACGACTGCATTCAACTGGTGAGCGCGCACTTCCGTCTGTTTCCTGCTGCTGTACAGCAAGATACAGGCATGGTGGGGATGGGCCAGTGGTTGGATTCAGATAATCTCAGAGGTCTACTGCAACCTGAATGATTCTATGGTATGTGCTTCCTTGGCATGCAGTTTCTGGGCAAAATTTTGAGGGCTCTCAGTTCAGGACAGCCCACTGGGTCCCCAGGTGTCCACGTGCCACCCTCATTTCCAGGCAGAGCAGCAGAGCTGACACAGGCTGTGCCAGCCCTTGGCAGAAGCTCCAGACAGCAGCACATGAGGTGCCTGTGAATGGAAGAGCTGGACATCAGTTTGTCCCCTCGAGACACCTGCATGGCTGATGACCGCAGCTCCAAGGAAAACAGCCCTGCCCCAGGGCTGCTGCTCTCCCTAGCACAGCGTGGAGACAGCTGGTGGTTTCTGACAGCCTGTCTGCCCTGTCTGATCCCTGCAAACACCAGCAGCCGCCAACAACACAGCACAGGAGAGACAGCTGCAATTATAAACATCTGATGGATCCGAGTGCGTCGTGGAGCGCTGCCATCAGGTGCCACCCACGTGGGCTATTTGCAGCCTGGCACGGCTGGAAGGCCCTGGGACGTCTGTGAGCTGGTGGTGGCCTGGCTCTGGGACACCTGCATGGGGTGAGGGGGCACCATGGGGCCCTGCTGGCCCCCAGACACAACCCAGCACAGCAGTGGTGCTGGCAGAAGGTGGGGACATCCCAGATCTTTAAACCCACCGAACTGAGCCACAAAACCAAACCAAAACAAAAGCAGCATGAATCCTCCAGAAATTTAAAAATAATTCGTATGCAGCCTTCCCCTTTGAAACCTGCCTGGCCTGGGACACAAGCAATCCTGTATCTACAAAGCTCTGGGCACAGGAAAGGGCTCATCCAAGCAACGCCAGCCCCAAACCGCCCGATGCTGCCCTGTGCCCACATATAGCCCAAAGGCTGCAGCTCCCCAGCCACCCCCCGCAGCACTGACCCCGCAGCGCCCCTCTGCCCCCATCAACTCCGTTTAGAACTTAAATCTAAAGGGAGATGGGCGTCCCGATGGAGAACGACGTACCCATCGGAGCGCTCCCGTCTGCAAGGCGCGCTGCTGGGAGCAAAGAGCAGCGCAGAGCTCACCGGGCGCAGCGCAGGCTGTGAGTCGTGGTGAAGATCTCCCCCTCCTGTCCGCCCGGAGCGCGGGGCCGGGAGCGAGGAGGGAAATGCTGGGCTGGGGGCTGCCTGCACAGGAGGCGGCTGGGATTCGGGGTGCTGAGGGGCGCTGGGGTCAGTGCTGGGTCTCTGCGCTGTGCCAATGGAAGCTGAGGCAGAAAGAAGGGCACTGCAGGGACTCACCCAGAGGTGGGACCGTCGGCCTGCTAACGCCAGAGGCGTGGGAAGAAAAGTCCCAAGGTTAAGGCTGACGCCCAGATTTCTCCTCTCGGAGCACGGCTCTAAATTAAGAAGTGGGAACAAACGTTCTGAGCACAAGAAGGCTGTGAGTCACGCACGGCCCTGTGTCTAGACTGCTGTGGGCAAAGAGCAAACCTTAGGGAGGACAATACCACACCAGAATGAGTCTGAGGAGATCAACGGGGTGGGGATGTCACCCTCCAGGCCAGCCCTGCTCCTGCTGCAGGCCTGGGGGGAAAATCTCTTTTCTGCCTCTTTCTGATCCCCAGCCTTCCCAGGGTGCTGTGTCTCTTGCATTTTAGTTGCCATTTTATGGTGTGTTTGACCTGTGGCCACTTGCTAGCAGCACCTCCCCACCTTGGGGAAGGGCTGAGCTAATGGGAAGGTGAGGAACATCCTGGGAGGAGCATTTCAAAGCATTTCTGTGGCTTCTCCTGCCTGTGTTCTGCAGCAGAGCTGTGTGGTTGGGAAGGGCTTGTAGCTGTCTTTCTTGCTCTCTCCCTCTGTGTGATGGGATTCCTTTCGTGCCTCTCAGTTTTCCTGCTTTCTTCCATGACTGTGTGTGCCACCATGTGTCTGTAACAGGCAACTTTAATCCCCTCTGCTCCCCTCTTGCTTTATCTGTGCCTCTGCTGGCACTGCTCTGCTGGGTGCTCTTTCTCAGGGTGATTTCATTCCTCTTTGGGTGCCTCCATCTCATTCTGGGGAGGGCTCAGACCCGGCCAGTTTGGGAAAGAAGAAATAGGACAGAGAGGGGCTATGCTGAATGCCCAGGTCTGAAAACCCAGACAATTATCAGCCTTTTTCTGCCCATTTGAGCAGCTGAGGAATCAAACCATTTTGTTATATGGGCTTTAGGAAAGAGGAAGCCTGCTGCTAACTCTGCAGGCAGTGCCCATGGCCTGCAGCCATCCTGCTGTCCTGCACCAAGGCACTGATCTGCAGGGCTGCAGGATCTGCTGCTCTCTGTCCAACATTAACAGAGGGGACACTGATGTTGGATGCAAGGTAAAAAAATACTGACTGCTCTTACTGAGGAATACTGAGTCAGGCTGCTCTCTTGTTTAATGAGCAGAGAGGAAGAGAGGATTATTGCATTCATTCAGGCCATGCTGCACTCTGGGGCAGAGATAACAAAGCAGCAGTGCCTTTCTCTCTTGCTGAACTTGTTTTCAGCAAATTCTTCTGCAAACAGATTTCTATTGTGAATGGCTTAAAAAGCAGAGCCAGCCAGGCCTCCAGCACAGGCGATAATCAATGGCGTGCAGTTGCACAAAATGAATGTGGGATTTGTAAGGCTGCCCCAGCCATGAGCGTTAGCAGCCCTTGTGCTGTGCCAGAGGGCAGTGCCAGCTGTGCCCGTCCTCCCTGCACCCTCTGGCAGGTGCTGCAGGACACAACACAGGTGCTTGTGTGCCCTGTACCCAGGGCTGTGCTGGGGTTTCTCTGTCTGTCCATCAGTGCCCCAGGACACACCAGCCTTCAGTGCATTTTGGGTTCAGTGTGCTCCTGTGAAGGAGCTGCGATCTGCAGATGGAAGGAAATCCCCGTGCTTCCAGCTCTGCAGGTCTGCCAGAAAGCTCAGGCACTGCTGGCATCTTGCTTGTGAAACACAGCCAAGACTTTATCCAGTCCTCTTGAGTTGCGGGATGGTGGTGGTCTGACCTGTGGCTAAGGACCATCTTTTGGGTTGATCTGTGGTAGAGACCATCTGTCTCCACTGTCCTTTGCAACCTCTTATTTCTGAGCTCACATTCTTGAGAGGTGTCTATTCATCTCATCTAAACTGCTGCCATTTTGGGGGTCATGAAATTAAAGACGATTAAAGGGGGTTGTTTAATGCAGGAGGCATTACTGCAGTGCAGCTCCTGGGGTTGTAGAGAGGAAGGAGGAGCTGGAATGAGGCAGAGGTCACTGTGCACTGTGATAGCTTTGCACTGGTGCTGGTGGCTGCTGCTGCAATGGGAGGTGGCACCAGGTACGTGGGAAGGGTCTGAGGAGCACACAGCCCTGCTGAGGCACAGCTCAGGATGCGCGGGGAACACGAGGTGGGGACTGACATCAGCACCCACCAACAGCTATTGCCCCACTGCAGTAGAAGTTGGTGGTGATCTCCTCATTGAAAAGTTGCAATTTTCTCTAATGAATCCCCTAAAGCAAGGCTTATTTCCTGCAGAAATGTGCCTCTTGTGGTTCTGGATCGCAATGTCTCTTGAAAATCCTTTTTCCTTCCTCCTTCCACGTATTGTCATGCAGCTATGGACTTCTTGAGAAACGGATGGAAGCATCTGCCACTTGGTTACCCAACCACAGCGCCAAGGGCCTCACGCAGCCCCAGGAGCTGCTGGAAATGGAGCTGAAAGGGGATTGCTTCCTGCAGGAAGCCAGAACATTGCTTCTGCCACAAGCTCTGGAACTTTCCCCGTGTTGGGTGCACGCAGTGTGTGCATGGGAGTGGAAAATGCAGGTGTGCACTGGAGAAATGACTGCTCCAGGTGAGCCATGCTCTGCATCACAGCTCTTCCAGGAGGAAAATCCCCATCTTTCTTACTGAGGAAAGAAAAGGGCCTTTCTAATGGCTAAGCTCTTTCATTTATTATTATTATTATTATTTAATTTCTGACTTGGCATCAGAAGAGAAAGCAAACATTTAAGAGGATCAGATTTTGATCTGCTCTATGAAAGCATCATCAGAAGTACATTGAAACAAGAGGAGACAGACTGAGATGAACCTGCGGGGGCTGCTATCCCAATGGCTGGCGCTGTGAGCTGTAAGTGCTGCCCACCACCAGACCAGAGAACCTCAATACAAAGCAAATACACCCCCAGCTCTGATCACCTTGCCTGGGCGCATCGGGTGCCGTGCACCTCCTTCATGCTCCCCCCCTTTCTGCTCCCCGCTATGTTTGTGAGCATTTTAGCTTGCTCATGCCAGTTGGCACAGAGGAATATTCGTATAAAGCAAGCAGAGGGAGAGCTGAGCACCAGCACTGCTGCAGTGGGGGACGCAGCCCCAGGGCTGGGAAAGCAGTGGCAGCAGCAGAGCTGCATCACTGCTGGGGAAAAAGCACCGCTGTGGCCAGCTGCGTGATGAGCTGCTGCGGTGGTGGGAAGATCGAGGTCTTGGGAGTGGGAGGAAGGCCAGAGTCATTCGGGGAGCTTGGGAGGGGGAGGCTCTCCCCTGGGCGGGGTGGAGCTGGAAGGGGAGGTTATCCAAAGGGCTGGGGCTGGCCGAGGCCTCCCTGGACCCGACCTGCGGTCAGCCCCAACCCCAGTCTGTTCTGCACACTGAGCAGTGCTGTGCTGACCCCATTTTGCAGGGAGAACACTCAGGCATTGTCCTGCTTATCAGCGCCAAGCCAAGCGCTGCAATTGGGAACCAATTAAAGTCCAAACTCGTGTTTGTGTGTGCAGAGCTTCCCTGCAGCTCAGGCGATTGCTGCTGGGTCACCAGAGGCCTGGGTCCCACTGCCACCATCACCGTGTCACCAACAGCACGTGGGGCAATGGGACCTGGGGCTCTGCCCAGGACATTTCTATTAAGGAAATTATCATTAATAAATTTTTTTCCTAGTTTTTTTTTTTTTTTTTTTTTAAACCATTTTCTAGCACCACATTGCTTAAACAAACTTCCTATGGAATGGAATGGATTAGGATGGTCCTAGTATTAGGTTTTGCAAAATAAAACATTTTAAAAATTTGGATTCAAATTCAGAGACAAATTTCTAGCCACAGCTTCCAGCTAATTTGCAGTCATCTTGAAACTTGTGAAACTCACATTGTTTTGAACCCCTCCATGCTCCCATCATTGGCAGCAGCCCAACGATACCTGCAAGGTTTGGGGGGTTTTGGCCCATTTAGGTGAGGAAATAGCACATCCAAAATCCTAATATCTCTGCAGAAGGAACCTGCCCCCTCTTCCCCCCTGCTGGTCCATGTGTGCCCTCGTGGAGCCCGCACAGGCCCTGCTCCGGTCCCCACATCCCTCCCAGGTAGGAGCACACTGACAGCACGTGGGCACCCGGTTCCCTCCCAGCCCCTCCGTACGGCGCCCGCGGCTTCAGGTGATGCTTCTGGGTGCTGCCCAGAGGGATGGGGAAGGGGGGGGACGGGGATGGGATGGGATCCCGGGTAACGTACCGCCCGCACGATCCCGCGGAGGAGCTGCCGCCGCCGGGCTGAGCCTTTGGTGTCAGAGCGAAGGGGAGACAGGGAAAAAAAAATAGGGGTGGGGGGGAGGAAGAAAAAAAACAGAAGAAAAAAAAAAAACCAACAAAAACGGCCGAGCCTATTGGCGAGGAGCTGCGGTGGGAGGAGACGGGCGGCCCGCACGGCCGTGTCGGGCTCAGCGGGCACTGCTGCTACCGCTGCCCCGCCCCGGGGCTCAGCCCGGCGGGCACACGGGGGGCACCGAGCGGGCAGGGAGCGGGTAGGGAGCGAGCACGCAGCGGGCACAAGGAGGGAACCCAGAGGGCAGGCGGCCCCGGGGCAGCGGCTGCTGCTTGCTGCCGGCCTCCCGTGGCCAAGGAGACCGAAGCAGATCGGGGCTTTCAAAGCTTCCCAGTGGTGGGATGTGGGCCCGAGGGAGCCGTGCCCGATGCGGGCTTTGTGCGTGGCTGCTGCGGGTAAAGGAGCGAGCGCAGAGCTTGGCCGGCTGCCCCCGCTGCTGTTGGAGCGCCGTTCGGCCGCGGGTATCTCGGGCTCGTGGCTGTGGCGCACGGCGTCCGTGCGTTTGTGCAGCCGATCCGGATTCGGATCCGAAGCGCTCTGAGCAGAGCCGGGCGGCTGGTCACAAACGCCGCACTTGGCAGCAGGTTTGGGGACAGGCAGAGCCCTGATGCGGCCCGGGCCCCGCGCTGCGCC